ATTTCCTCAGTGTCTAGCCAGCTTTAGTAGCATGCAACACAATCGTTTGTACTTCATCATTGCCCTTTGCAGTGCCTATTTCATTCCAAGGGCAATGACCTATACTAAACAATCAGGATTTTGTTTATTCATGTCAATAAAAGTAATCCTGAAAGGTTGTTTTGGGTTCTTAAACTTTGCACATTGAGTAAGCCTGGTTGTCTTGCACTGAAACAACTGAGCTGGACTGATGGCCATTTTGTTCTGCCTTGTATGAAAATTCACATATTCATGTCACAAGTGTAATGCATACGGTATTTCTTCCAGCTGCTTACAAATTGTAATATTGTTAAAACCCACAAACGTGTAAATTTGTGGTGTTTTGCTTTGCCTTCATGTGTGGGAGTGTAATGTATACCATCTAATCCCCCTGGTAGCCTCTATACTCTATTAAAAGACATATGGTCCATGTAATTGTAAAGAGAAACATGTGGCTTCAGCCTTCGGTACCAAAATTGACAGCAATTTACCTTTTTATTATACTGTATGTATTCAAGCTACCAGTAATTCTACACTGCCCACACTCCCAGTTCTGCTTTCACAGTACATTCATAGTACCTGTGCTGGAAGCAGTATGGAGGTGGCCATTGATGACCCCCTTCTGAAAATACTAGCTGCCTGGCTTTATCTGACCTGGAACAAGCAAACTCAAAGTGAGATCTATTCTACATACTTGTTTCAGTATGTAAATGTAGATTTAAACTGTGTCAAAAATGCACCCAGACCTATCCTTAACCATACACTTAAAAATAAATAAAAGATGTCCATGTTACATGACTGTGCCTGCAGTCTGACTGGAAGCATAAGCACTGTTGATTACCGCAGTGTGCAGGAGGTGCTTTGGACTGCTGGAGGCCCAGGCTGTTGAACTGTATGTTGAACTTTCTTGCTGCAATAAACAATTAGCAATTTAAGTGCTTAAAGTGATACTAAACCCATTACCCTGCATTCACTATATCTGGCCTCCTACAGTACACAGAACATGGAAATGCAATTATTTTAGTAAATACAAACTGGTAAATACCGTTTCACATCAGCAGTTAGAACAGTCTTGTGACTTCAGCAGAGCACTGGTTAAAGCTTGTAGGAGGAGTTTTCTTTCTGCTCTAGGAGTATGTGAAACCCCTGACCCTCTGTTTGATCAGTGCTGATTGGCCCTGTGCTGATCACATGCACCCTCCAAAGAAAAAAAAAAAACCTCTCTAGCAATACACACCAAATTGAGCATGTGCATGTGACCACGGGTTCAGTCTGTATCAGGTGGTCATTTCAACAAGAGGAGGGGCAGGTAAGGAAGGATCAAACAACCTTTATACACAATGCATAAGATTACCCCCTTAGGTTCCACAGTGAGTATAACAAGCATGCTTTACTTCATATACAGACTGATTTTACTGTTGTGGGTTTAGTAACACTAAATTTGTATCTTCAGAAGGCACTCCTGTGGCCCATGTTAAAGGTGATCTGGAATCTAACATTAAAGGCCCATTTACAGTTCTGTGCAGTGGTAACCTGTGTATTACCACATCATGCAGTAACACATCATTTCTTTTTAATGGCACCCCAACTCGCTAAGACCATGCACCTGTGTTGTAGCATGCTACATCTTACTGTAATGATTTACTTTTAAACATGTTTGGGTGCATTGGCAGGCTTTTCATTTTGAATAAGTTGCCTTAACACAATGCATGTTAACATATGACATAAATTTCATTGATGCACGTTCCTTAAAGTGTTACTAAACCCACAACAGTAAAATCAGTCTGTATATGCAGTAAAGCATGCTTGATATACTCACTGTAGAACCTAAGGGGTTAATCGTCTGCATTGTGTACAAAAGCTGTTTGATCCTGTCTTCTCTGATCCTCCCCTTCTTCCAGTGTTCCTCTCTTATCACCTGATAAGTCATATCATGTGAAGACACTCTGGACATGCTCAGTTTGGTATGCATTGCTCGAGAGTTTTTTTTTTTTTTTTTTCTTGGGAGGGTGCATGTGATCAACACAGGGCCAATCGGCACTGTCCAGACAGAAGCTGAGGGATTCTGCATCCTCCTAGAGCAGAAAGAAAACTCCTCCTACAAGCTTTAACCAGAGCTCTGCTGGACACTGACACAGACACACATTTCCATGTTCTGTGCACTGTGAGAGACCAGGTATAGTGAATGCAGGGTCCTGGCTATTCAGTGGCTATACTTTAGCTGTAATCTTACTATTTATTCTGCAAATGATGGATGCATTGGGGAAATGGCCACTTACAGTACATATGGAGCTCGTTGCCGCAAGAAGTGGGTGTGATTAAATTATGCTAAATATTGGGTGTGGCTTAACTTTTTTCTGCACAGTGAAGACTGCCTGCTCATATACTGGAAAATATCACAGCATCCCAGGTGTCCATACATATGAAAGCACCCTGGGCTCTTGAGATCCTAATGACACTACTGAAAAATGTGTAGGCACTATGAATGGGGTCACAGCAGCTCATCGGAGCGGAGGAGACATCTAGAAGTTTCCCTTCATTCTTATATGTTTTGATGTGACAGGTAGCAGGCAGGGAGAGATTACAGCTGCTGCAGTGGTGGTTGGCAGGGAATTGCAGTGTCGGGGGTCAGGGACCAAGACACATGCCCCAAATCTTCTGCTTGCTCGCCCTGGGTTGCTGATGCTGCAATCCCCTGCCAGCCACCACTGCAGCGGCATCTCTCCCTGCTAGCTGCTTGCAAATTAAATTAGTGGAGCGAAGTGCCAGAACTCAATTCCAGCATTGGGATCTGGTGCACAGCAGATGCGGGATGCCAAGATTTCATTGCAATCCTGCAAGACCTAGGAAGATTGGAAGGTAGGAACTGATACTGTTGGTGGGTGCCTTGAGCTTCAGTTTCTTTTGACCCCATTCACATCTAAAATCCCATGGATATCAGTTGTGCCCATTCACACCTGAACATAGTGTCACTTGAAGATAAAAGAAGAGCTTGTTTTGAGCCTTAGGGCGTTAGTAGATATAAAGGAGATTGTACAGTCAGATTTTATTGTGTATGGTCTGATTTAGTAGTTCTGTAATGAAATAAAGGGTGCTCTTAGAAATGGAATAGAGTAAGCCCTTTTTTTGTTCAGCCAGCAGGATGGGACATATTCTGACAGTGGCACCCATGGTAGAGGCTACACGCTGATTGAAATTCGACCGATCCCTGGCAGATCTTTTGACGAGTGTAAGCCCAGCTTAAAGTGGAACTTCACTCTCTCAATCAACATGGACTATTTTTCATACTTATGTTGCTAGCATTAGTAAATGGATAGGAAAATGTATTATATTTACTTTTTTTTTTTTTTACGTTGCTTCAGTTACTTCCTGGTTTCCAGGTTTAGGCAAATGTCACATCCCAGCAGTCTTCAGGAAGGGAGGGTTCTCAGCTCAGCCAATTCCTAAGCTAAGGGCAGATGGATTCCAGGAAGTAAATGCTACATGAATCATCTGCCATTATTCAAGATGTCCACTGCCAGAAATGCCAAGGGTGGGGGTCAAAATGATTTCTCAACAAAAAAATAAAGCAAGGAGACATGAATGGATGGGTGAGTTGCTTTGAATATTAACTATGAATTAAATAGCATTTTTGGTTTGTGGTGCTCTTTAATTAATAAAACTATGTTTTAAGTGGAGTGTATGCAGAGGTGTTTTTTGTTTGTTTGTTTGTTTGTTTTTTGGATAATGCTTTTGCTTTAATGCCAAATCTAGCTTAGAGTGTTAAAGATCTGCTTTACTTTCACCCGTGAATCATTGTACAACAGTCTATTTTCACAAGGCAGTGCAAGTTCTAAGTTCCTGCGTGCTGTGCGTGAGTCACTGCTTCGTCACATGGATCTGCTGTGCAAGCCATGCCAGCTGGCAGTGAAAGGGTTTTAAGTGAAGACACACCTACCACTGTTTCCTCTGTTTGTTCTTGCTCTACAAAAAACAAAAAATCCTGTAGCATTGAATTACTTGGCTGCAGGCACAATACATTGCTGACCTGTCTGGCCATCCTGTGGCCAGTGTCCTGGCTTTGTAGGACTTTGTCATGACATGCCCCATACAGGTACCCTAGCAGAGCACCGTGCTGGGAGGCATAATGGGATAGTCCTGGGAACTTGCAGGTATCTAGCATAATGCAGAGTTCTGTGATTTACAGTTTGTTACCTCCCACTGTGTGTTGTTGCAGAAACAACAGAGCAATGCAGTGTGCTGCTTCACACTTAATGATGGTAATGCAGCAAGAGGCACAGAAGAGCAGGGAAGTGGGATCAAGTGTGTTAAAGTGCTTCTTTCATTGCTGGACCAGCCTGTGGATTAGTTTTCACTACCTGGATTAATGTTTGACTTCCATCCAGGGAGGGAGGCAGTCACACTGACAGGTAGGACCTGGCATATGGTGGAGTTGTTGGCGTGATCTACAGCCTATACTGCATTTGACACTTTGCTGTCATGTGCACACTACTAGACTCTACTTCTCTGCCTGATACAGCAAGGAGACTTTCCTGGTTTTGCTGGTTTAGATTATTTATTTGTTTTTGTTAACCATTTACTTGGGTAGCAATATTACTTTGCAATATGCAGAAAACGTTTTGTTTATGCACTGTTTGTCTGTTGAGGCCTTTAATTTTGCATTTAGACATCTGACTTGATCTTTACAGGGACACACCTTGCTTTTTTAATTATAATGATACCACACAGCTATTCCCTGATGTCCCGATAATAGCAGCCTGTGCTGGTGACAGCCCTGTACATTTAATGATCAGCTGTATAATAATAATAATAATGATGTAACTTTAATAGCAGAGAGAGTTAGAACATGAGATACTATTTTCAGAACAGAGACAAAAATAGTTCTTGTTTTGACAGTTTTTTTTTCTTTTTCTTTTTTTTCCTATTTAGAAAGTCATGCTGTGGCCACCTTGTCTGTAATCCTGGCAGATCACAATTTGACAATGGCTGACTTGGCACCAACAGAAGGAACTGCTGCAACGCCTGAGCTGTGTTCAGACTGTGGACAGCCTCACCTAATAATCGAAACCCACATCTACAACTTCCAGGATGAGGTGGACGATGAGCTGGTCTGTCACATCTGTCTGCAGCCACTACTGCAACCCATGGACACGCCTTGTGGTCACACATACTGCTACAGGTGCCTGAAAAACTTTCTACATGAGAAGGACTTTTGTCCTATGGACCGCAAGAAGTTATGCTTTCACGATTGTCATAAGTCCAGCCTTCTGGTGAGAAACCTGTTGGATAAGTTGAGTGTCACCTGTCCATTCCTAGCAGAATGCAAACAGGTCATGCAGCGCTGCGAGCTGGAGCCCCACCTACGCAACAGGTAAACATCAAAGATCAAGGCACTGGAAAATGTCAGTTCATGTAAATACCACCTTCGTTTCTACTGAGACACGTGTATGCTAATGAATAACGGCACATTTGTTTAAAAAAAATCAGCAGATATCAGTCATGGGAAAGACATAAACAAGAAATCAGTACCTCATCAGACCATCAGGTCTGTACTGTGAGGCCTGCACATGGAACTGTGTGGTTTACAGCCTTCACAATCCATTTCTGTTTGAAGCTTCATGTATCCTTTGTAGGATGGGTGGGATGAGCCATTGGCTTCCACTGCTGTCAGTCACAGCCAGTGAGCCAATGAGGAGAGAGAGAGCGAGGCCGAGCAGCGGCTCTGTGTGTGAGCAGAGCTTGGGAATGAGCCTGCTTCGGTGGCCAGATGACAAGCTTCTTGCTCTAGGGGCAGGAGCGCTGACAGAGGACCCGAAAAGAGAAGAATCGGGGCTACTATGTGTAAAACCGCTGCACAGAGCAGGTAAGTATTACATGTTTGTTATTTTAATAAAAAAAAAACAAAACTGCCTTTTACTGCTTCCTAACCACACTATAGCAGATATACTGCTACAGGGCGGCACATGTGCGCAAAATCACGTATAAATATGTGATTTTTGCATTTCCGAGTAGGGGGCACACACCCTACCCACGCCACCAATCACTGGGTCCTGGCCGGTGATTACTCGCCGGTGCCCAGTGACTTAGGAGCATCTCCGATGGGAAGAAAACTGAATGTAAACAACACAGTTCTCCTCCCTGTCAGCTCCTGCACACTGCTTTGGATGGCTGTGCAAAGCACAGCCATCCAAAGCAGTGTGCTTACAGTGAAGGGCACGGACACAGCACAGAGTAAAACAGCACACAGTTAAACCTTTGATCACCCCACATAACCACTTCCTTCCCAGTTCCATTAGTATAGTTTCAGTGCTTTTTTTTTTTTTAGCACTGATCACTGTATTGGTGTCACTGGGGATGTCAGTGACACCAAGTCAGTTCCCCCCCAGTGTCAGAATGTCCTCTGCAGTCCCACTATAATTCGCTGATCGCCGCCATTACAAGTAAAAATAAAAAATAGGAAAAAAATCCCAGTATATATTCTACCATTTATAAATGCTATAACTTTCATGTAAACCAATTAATTTACACAAATTGGGATTTTTTTTTTTTTAGCAAAGACATGTAGCAGAATACATTTTGTCCTAAATTTATGAAATTTTTTTTTTTTTTTTTTTTTTACTGGAAATGCTTAATAGCAAAAAGTCAAAAATATTGTTTTTTTTCCTCAAATTTGTCTTTTTTTTTTATAGCACAAAAAATAAAAATCGCACAGGCGATCAAATAACACCAAAAGAAAGCTCAATTTGTGGGAAGAAAAGGACAGAAATTTCATTTGGGTGCAGCATTACATGACCGTGCAATTGTCAGTTAAAGAAACGCAGCGCCGTAATGCAAAAGATAGCCTGGTCATGAAGGGGGAAAATCCTCAGGAGGGCAAGTGGTTAATATCACTTTAAGCTGCAAAGGCAGTAGACATATGGCAACTACTTGTTGTGGCTGTGATGATTTTTAGCAGCAAAAATGATCACCCCTGTTATTATGTGACCAAGTTTAAAGACCGTGCACAATGATTGTGTGCAATTACACAGCTGTGTCAGACTGGAATACTTTACAGGTGCAAACCCTAAACAAGCATGCTGTACTTGAGCACCAGAAAACTGTCAGAATTGCCCATCCCCATACCTGTTTTGGGTCAGCAGCAAGGACCACTTTGAACTCAAGGGGTGGAATTAATAAAATATGTCTTCTGTAGGTCATAGAAGGGTCAAACATCGGTCAATTTTTCGAAAAAAAAAAAAAAAAAAATCAGTCGTTCGTTTGGCCAACGTTACCACCAATGGTAAAAAAAATCAGCTGACAAAAATCACATAGTTCACCCCATAACTTCTGTCCCTTGCAGGTCACAGCTCATGCGTGGATTTTTTATCGGTAAAACGATCGGCCGATTTGCCCATCATTGCCAGGAAAATCGGCTGATCGTCAAAATCGGCCGCAAATTTTCCAACATGACCAATAAAGAAACTGCAAAAAACGTCGGACCAATTAACCCACTAACAGTGCGATTTTTTTTTTTTTTTTTTTTTTTTCGGCCGAAAAATTGGCCGATTTTCGACCCGTCTATGGCCGGCATTAGACAAGTTGAGTCAAAACAATGGCATCAGCATGACAGCCAGATAATTTGCATTACCTAAAGGAGAGTACACCAGTGACAGTCTCCATTGCTCTCCCATGACAGAGGCCCTTTAGGTGCATGTATGCTAATTAATGTGTAAGTGTAACACATTTAACTGTATATCTCCCAAAGATCACCATTCCCCCCTAACAAAAAAGACTGCCACCCTTTGTTCAGGCATCATCCAGCATCGCAATCTTCTGATTGAACTGAGATGATAGCTAGGAGATGACACATCATGTACATTTTATTGTCTGTGACGTTCTTGGCTGACTTCACAAATATTGAAAATAGATCAGCCCCTCGCTTCATCTTTTTTACAATGTCTTGCTGCAAAGTTACAGTGTGACAGTTTGAGTGATCACTGGGGAAAAAACAGAATATGCTTCTTCCTGCTTGAGCAAACCGATGACATCATTGCATTCTAGGCAAAGTTAAAGTGACACTAAACAATGTCCTTACTCTCCAAAAATAATCCAGACACGTCCACTACTTACTGGCTCTGTAGTAAATTTTTCATTATATTGTTTCCTGCTGTTTTTCTGCCTCCTCGTATTGTCCTCTGTGAGCTCACAAATGTATCCTTTTTTTCCTTCACTTTTGTTTCTTTGGATCTAGCAGTGCGCATTAGTTAATGTGCACTGTTCGAAGCACAGTACAAATCCCATAGTCTATAGTCCCTAGTCCATTACAAGATACGAGCAAGAGAATTTTTTTTAAACAAGAGTTTAGTGTCACTTGCCATCCGCCCACAGTACATTTAATGTGGGTGGGAGGCATGTGCAGGCTGGATCACTCACATGTAGGTCATCCAGCCTGCTCCAGGTTAGGGGAGCGCAGCGTGCTGCTTCCGTGACCGCTGTGTGTACAAGACAAAGCGGATTGCGGCTCCCAGTACCCGGCCACTTTGAGCGATCCAAGGCCGTAATGTGATTGCTATGCAATCACATGATCACGTTAACAAAGCTGTTATGAATGAATGTGATTCATAAGAGTGATGCTGTGATTGGCCCACATCTGTCACATGGTACCTGGGCAAATCACAACACCCTGTACAATGCGATTAGCTGTAGCCAATCACAAATCACTCGTAATCACAACTGTTATGAATGTAACCTATTCATGACAATTCGAAACATTGCTGTTACAGTAATAATCATTGTAACAGCAATCAAAATGTAAAAAAAAATATACTGATGCACTTGAGGCCTAGTTGACCACCACTACTCTAAATGACTTCAGTGCAAAATCGTGTCCTATTGGCTTCAATGTAAAATCGCTTTCATTGTATTCAATGCAAAATCAGCTCCCATTGACTTCAATGCAAAATCGGCTCCCATGGACTTCAATGCAAAATCGGCTCCCATGGACTTCAATGCAAAATCGGCTCCCATGGACTTCAATGCAAAATCGGCTCCCATGGACTTCAATGCAAAATCGGCTCCCATTGACTTCAATGCAAAATCGGCTCCCATTGACTTCAATGCAAAATCGGCTCCCATTGACTTCAATGCAAAATCGGCTCCCATTGACTTCAATGCAAAATTGGCTCTCATTGACTTCATTCAAAATCGGTTCCCATTGACTTAAATGCAAAATCGGTTCCCATTGACTTCAATGCAAAATCGGTTCTCATTAATTTCAATGCAAAATCAGGTCCCATTGACTTCAGTGCAAAATTGCATCCCATTGACTTCAAGGCAAAATCGCTTCCCATTGACTTCAATGCACAATTGCCTCCCTTTGACTTCAATGCACAATCTCTTCTTATTGACTTCAGTGCACAGTTGCCTCCCATTGACTTCAATGCAGAAACCCCTGTCAATAGCACTCCCATGTGAACACTTATCTCTGCATGCCACTCTATCACTTGTGAGTCTGGAATGCACGGCTACAAATTCGCACAGGAACCTTTTTGTAATGGCACTCAAAACACAATGCGTGTGGATGGCATCTTGTGAACCACCTCAGTAGAAATACATATCTAGCCTCTCGTGCGAATCTGTGAGTTTGAAAATGCATCCAGAATCGCATATGTGTGAATTAGGACGGCTCCATTCATACCTGGGCATTTTAGGATCACGGCAGAAACTCTGATCGCAAAATGCGGGTTCAAGTGCCATTATTTTCAATAGCACCTAAAACGTGGTGCAGTTGTGCCGTGTTTGTTGTGCGGCAAATCATGCTTGAAGCTTGTTGCTCAAAATTTGCCGTGCCCCAGGTCCTGACAACCAACACTATGCAAAAAAAAAAACTGGCTCCTAACTTTTTTAGCTAGCTCCTCGATTCAAAGCAAATATGTCAAGCCCTGATTTCAATGCATAAAAATACGTTGTAAGTCTGTGAAAGCATCAGTTTATATAGCAGGTGCATGATGCCTGTGACGGCCAGCACTTGGACAGCCATTCAGACAGTATATAGTATTTGAGCCAGACAAAAAAATATATTGTCGCTCTTTTAAATGTGCATTTATAGGAAAGCAATAAGAAGAGAATCATTCCTGTCATGTCTATTTAGGCCTGAAATAATGATTGCTTGGTATAAATCCATCCAGTTAGTGGATGCTTCCTCTGACGACCTGTAAACCAGGGCCTGTAATAGATATACTGTATGCCTGAATATATCCCAATCTTGCAGTTCTGGAAGTTGTGTCAATCGTATGTTTCTCTATCACGTCGATGTTATGGTTTGAACCCATCTTTATAAATGTAGGCTTTATACAGTGCACCTCTCTGGTTTAGTTTTTGTGTGTAAGGTAG